GAAATTTTTAAAATAATTTAAAAAAATTGAAAACCCACTCATTCAGGAAAGAGTGATTTCAAGTAGTTAACTGCAATTTAATTTCTAATTCCCAGGACTACCAGAGAAACAAATGAACTGGAGTTTGTTGTACGGTTCACAACTCCGTTCATATTATGATAAGCCTAACTAAACTTGTTTCAGAATATATAAGTAACGTTATCTGTATTCTGTAAAACAAGAGTTGTTAAACAAACAAATAATAAATAAAACAAATAGAGAAACAAAGTTAAAAATAAAGCCAGCTTTCTCTTTCACATACTTCAATTTGAACTTTGGACTCTATATTTGGCAGGGGGGGGGGGGGGGGAGGGGGGAATGGGAGGGATGTACATATTTTTTAAATTTTTCAACTTAAAAGACACATATTGGTTTTACTGGATTAAATAAGCTTTTTTGTTTTTTTTGTTGCGTTATTTTAGTAATAAAAAAAAAAAAAAAAAAAAATAATAAATAAAAAAGAGAAAAATATTATAAACTCCATTATTTATTATATTCTCAAAATTTTTAATAGTTCAGTGGGAGGCTAGGTGGGGGGGGGGGGGGGGGGCAGAGGTGGGCTACTGAGGAGTATGATAGTGTTTTAAATGTTCCCACATATAATGACCTGCTTGATCTTGCTTGGCTAAACAAGCTTTATGTTTTTAGGTGAACGGGCATATTTCTGCCAGCACGTCCTTAAACCACTACTAGGTTCCTCGCGCCGGGTTTTTACTGTAATGTACCCCTTCAAGTGAAGTGAAGTGAGGTGAAGTCAGTGGGTCAGTGAGGCGAGTAGCGAAAAAAACGCATTTTCCACCAATTCCTCTTCTTTGGACTGATTTTAGGTCAATTAGCATAAGAATGGCTAAAAACGAGTTTTGAAAGAAAAGAGGCATATTTTCCGACTAACCTGACATAATTAAACAGCTTTTTTGCTTTTCACGCATACGCAAAAGCCAAAATTTGGACTTGTTGTTGTTGTTTTTTTATCTTTCTCTCTCGCTCTCTTTTTTTCTTTCTTTTCTTCTTTATTGGCGGTTTTATTGCCCAATTTTTGGTGTTTCTTTTGCATGGAATTGTGGCTGACTAACTTTTTAAGAAAGGGACAAATTTAGTAGTATGTAAACAGCGAAATTGGCAGTGGATTTTTCTCCAAAATGTTACCTTTTTTTGTGAGTGTAACTCTGTCAGGATTGCAGTGCCGGATCCAGACCTTGAGATAAGGGCGTGGGGGGGGGGGGGGCTCCCCGGGCCCCTCCCCTGGATCCGCTACTGGATTGGTCAGAATATCAAAAACGAGGTATCTGTGGAAAGATCTATCTCTGCTGACGTTGTTGCTTACCAATTTATTAACTTAAACTGAAAGCTAAATGGGTCTAAGGAGAAATGTACACATCGTTCCATATGGGTCGTATACGTCCCTATTAGCCTTCCGAAAAGGGTTAAATAAAAAATTATGTACAATAAAGGATTTTAAGAAGTGAATAAAAGTGGGGATTCGAATTACATATCTTCATAGGAATCATAATTTCTTTAAGATTAAGGCGATTAAGGGAGCTACCGTGTGTTACCTAGGTATATCAATAAGAAAAACTCATGGCTCAAAAGAAGTCTAAGAGTTGCTACGGAAATCGATGTAGCTTCTTTTATTGACGTGGGTACATTATCAAAAAGAACCTCACCTAAGTAAGCTTATCTAAATGTGTTTTTTCCTAGTGTTAACTTAGGGTTTGGTAGATAAATATCGTTCCTTTGTCTTGTCTCGTTCGTGTCACATTTGATTGCAAATAGATCTTGTTATGGGGCTGCCCGTGAGGGAAACGCCCAATCAAGAAATAACTTCCATCTATTTCGAAAAAAGATAAAATGGCGGACGGAACTTCCAGAAGGCTTTGCGTGTCCCATTCCCCCCTTCAATGGGGACGATTTTTGCGGGGAGGGGACGGGTTATTTCAGTTTGTCTGGCGAACATACTTGCAAGTCGATTATTATTGCGTGGGGTTATTGGCCCTACATCTACGCAGAATGATTATCTAAATGCACTGTTCAGTATCTGATGAGAACCAATGCAGAACCAATGCCCTTCCCACAGTCCCCACGGAAAAAGCTTCAACTTGTTACAGTTTTCTCCCTATGAGTAAAAAGTCTTTCCTTACAAGAAAGGAATATGTATACCATTTGTAGATCGCCCCGTCAAAGAGAAACATATTCACTTGTACACATTCAGAAGGGTTAAAAATCTGATATCCCTCAGAAAGAAAACTGGAGCGTAATTTGCTTTGCGAGTTTTAATTCAGAAACAGAAAAATACTGTTATTTAACAGTCAGTCTAAGAAAAGAAGTTGACCCTATGACGTTTTGTTAGCGTAGAAGGACAATCATTTTTTAGAATTTCCTGCTAGATCAAATAAGTCACGTTATAATGGCGGGGGAGGGGCAGAGGGATTGGGGAAAGGGGGTGCATTGTGGAAATGTCCCTAAAAATAGTAAAATAATGTCAAACGTTTCTTGTTTCACAAGGCGAAATTGCCTATCTTTATTAATGATGGTGGACGTTACTCTACAGCTCAGTACGCTCTACGCGCAGTATGCAGACCAGTTAATGGCACCCCCATTATGGGGGTCTTGTTAATTTCCATAGTATAGTTTGTAAAACGCTATGGGCGATTAAGATCGATTAATGGAGATAATGCAAAATAAACTTATCATTGATCTATTGCGAATGAAGATGATATAAACTGCGGAAACTACAAATTCAACAGTGAAATTATATCATATAAATTTTGTATTTCCGCAGTTCAGATCATATTTATTTCAGATATGTTTCATTCCTTTCACAGGTTAAGATGAAATCAGCAAATTGGCCTACTCCTAATGCATGGGTCTTCATAGCTCAGTTGCATGGTGCTGGGAGCCGTCTTCAGCCCAAACGCAAAGGTCATGGGTTCGATTCCTGTTTGAGCCCCGAAACCTCATTGAGGGTTAATGTTAATATGCAATTGCTCCAAACCTGTTGTTACATCATAACGGCGATGATCATATCTTGATCATTCAAATCTCTTTTCTATTTGTACTATAATTATTGTCATGATTATTGTGCATTACCACTGGGTTTCATCAAAACGGCAAGAACTTGGTATTACGTCTAAAACGATTTTTAATATATACACAGTATACTAATAGCTACTAATATATTTTCGATTGAATTAAGGTGGCTGAACACAGTTTTGGCAGTTTCTGAGTATAGGTCATTTGCCAAATTATGGCAAGAGAAAGGTTGCAGCTCACAAGCTGAAACTTGGCAAGTGAAAAATATAATGATGAAAGATTTTGACTGACAGGCAAAATTTGAAGTTGTCGTAGTTCCCATGGCAACATGAACGATTGAATACAACCTTAAAATTTCACTTTTACTCAGTTTACATAAAATTCGCTCATTAGATTTTCCTATAAACTCGCACACAGCTTACTATAATTAATCATTACTGTTTGAAACTTATTTGACCAAATTTTAACAGAGGGGTTTTCAGATAATCAATAATATATATAATTGTACTGTTATTATTAAATGTGTCACAAAATTCGTCTGTTCAACTCCCATTTTAAAGTTCTCATTATTTAAAATACGATAAAAGTAAAATTCTGCCAAATATCACAAAATTTTAATGAGTAGATTTTGAGAAATCGTCTTCTGTGTTCCATTGCTTTTTTCGCCGCCATGTTTGTTTGTCTAATTTAAAGTATGCGCTACCGCTGACCGCCCGCGAAACTGTGTTCAGCCACCTTAAATTAGGATGACCGTTACATATAAATTTCCATGTTAATTATGTCAATATTATTGTTCAGATTTGAAAGGTTCGTCCCAATTAAACGTTCAGTTATTTCATCCACTTGACGAAAAAATGGATTTGCACAAATTTTCTCCTTTCAAATATGTCGCAAATATGTGAAAACTGAGGAATAAATATGGGGCAATGATGGTAAATGCCACGTTCGCATATTAAAAAACAGGGGGTTTATTGTAATGGCGCAATTTTTATGTACGTTTTCAGTTGCACGTGATTTTATTCCTTCATGTATGTAGCTGTGTGTATGCAACTGAACAATATGCTTTGTGAATGTATATGAGTTCTTAAGGTTTTATGTTCGCGCGTTTTTGACTGTAAAGAGTTTTGAACATCATACTCATATTACCTTTTTCCTTTCTCTCAAGGCACATTTAATATTTATTACACAAGGGACGTTTATTAAGATAAAACATGTCTTAGCAGCATATTATAGACACCTATAGATTATTAACTTATAACATCACCAAGAGACTGAGCTGATTGCCTTGGGATGGTCTCGTACCTTATTTGTATAATAATACTAAAACACTGAATTTCTTGTTTGTTGGTTCCCTTAAAGAAATTTGCAATTTCAAAATGTTAAAAGATTTCTAAATAAACATGATATGTTATGCTCTTAGACACAGATGCGTTTAACTTTGTGGATTTATAAGAATTCTTTTTCATACATCTTTAATCGCTCACCACGCAAAGACAAGCAATGAATTAAAACAGCAAGTAACGTTCCGTAGTTCATTTTTCTTCGTCTTAAAACAGTGTAATTGTCGGCTGCCCTGACAAAAACAAACCTCAAACTACACCACCGGTGCCGGTCGAACTACACCTAAAGCCGATTGCAGACTTGTTGTGCATATACTAAACTACAACCTGTTCTTATTATTACAAAGCTTTCCACCTTTCGATCAAAATGTTCATAAGACTTTAATAGCAACAACAAGTTGCCTTTTTAAAAAGCTAAGATATTAACAATGGAAGGAAACCCTTATATCTCAGCTACCACATTAATTATGTAGTTTATATACGCTGTAGTTAATTTTTATTTTTCCGTTGTTTTTGGGTACGGTAAGGTATGATAATGAATTTAAAACAAAGGAAAAAGAATAACTGAAATAAAAAACTAACTGCAACATATTATGTCAAAGAACAGAAGATTTGCCTTATTGTGTCTTTAACAGCCTGTCTTACTTCTTTGATTTTCCAGCAATAAAGAAATGGGTTTAATGACGAGTTTAGGAAAACAAAACTAAATGAAAAAGTCTTGGTAAGATAAACTGATGAAGATAACTTGACGCTTTTCAGATCAGTTAAGGCCTCTATTATGACAAATGGTAGAAAACAAATTAATAATGTAACCTGCACCCACAGTGCACTGTACACTGCCTTTCTGTATCGAGCTATGTTCAGTGGAATTGCTTGCCTCGGTTGTTCTTGATGAGCCACATTGATCTCAGCTTGAATTTGGTAATGACGGAGCGTGAAGAAGATTTTCATGTAAGAGAAAATTATGATAGTCAAACAAAAAGACAAATGTATGAAAAGAAGCAATGAAAATAACAGTTCATTCCAAATGAAGCTTGTTGTGACGACAATGGACAAAACCGACATAACGATTACAGTTATATAGACACTTTTCAAAGTTACAACTTGTCTGTATCTGAGGCCCAACCACAAGGCGAGAAGTCTGTCCACGCTTACTGCAGTCAATACTAACAAAGACACCGAACACAAAATATGACTGGCGATAAAGAGCGCAACGTTAACATTATAGCAAATATCCCATCTTTTACTCTTAACCGACATCAAGTAAACAACATACAGAGGCTCGACAATGATTCCCACCAAGAGATCAGTTATCGCTAGGCTGCGTAGCAGGAGTTTGGAGGGCGGATGAAGTGACGATTCTTTACGTAGAGCAACTAGGATCAGAGTGTTCCCCAAAAATGCTGTAAAGGACAGAAAAGTATTAAGCACTAAAAGGACGATTAGCTCGTCGTGAACTCTGGCAGTGACATCTGCGACATTTGCTGAACAGTACAAATCTCTGATCGTTTTCTCAAGGGTTGGCACTGCCATCTTTCTTCACTGATGTTGAGCGGTACGTGCAAGTGATTATAAGATTTATGTTTATATTGTCGCTTCTTTTAAGGGGATCATCGTGCTACAATCACTTATCTCTCGGCCTAGTCAATCGAACGAAACCGAACCAAAAATCAATTGAACCTAATCGAACCCAATCGGTCGAACCTTGTTTGATTGGTTTGGTGGAACTTTTCGGCGAGTTTGATTAATCGAACTCGTGTGTTCGATTACCGAACTCAATCGAACCAATCGAATTCAATCGACGAGATTAGTTCGATTTTGTTCGGTAGAAAGACAAAACGCATCCAGTTGAATCGGAAAGATCTCCCTATAGTAGGTATTTGAAGCAGCTAATTGGTTGAAAACAAAATATTACAATTAACCCGGAAGTAACTAAAATCCTTTTTGGTTAAGTGATTCAAATCGATAAATTTACTTGGAAACATGCAAACACGGGCACCAGTTCACGTTGCAAATGTCCAAGTTGACCGCGGCCATCGTCAGTTACCTTCAGAGCTTGATCTCCCCTTTGTTTGAAACCAGATGAAACTGGTTTTATGTTCGATTGTTGCATGCACTGTTCAATTTTGTTCTATTGTTTAAGGGTTCGATTTCCGAACGTTCGATTGTGTTCGATTAGCAAAGGGTTTGGGTAAGTTCGATTAAGTTCGAATACCGAACCCAGTCGGAGTCAAACGAACCATCGAAGTTCGATTGGGTTCGATTTCCGAACGTTCGATTGACTACGCCGGGCTTATCTTCATGATCAGTCAAATATTAGCATGCCAAGGCTTTTTTATAATTAACTTCCTTTGCTTTTATTTTACGTTTGACATGGGTCTTAATTACCCTTCCGGTGTACTCACTTCGGTGATTTATGAGTCAAGTCCCTTGCGTCGATAAAATAATATTGAACTTGAAGATCACGGGATATTGGCTGGCAACAAATTTCCCCTACTCGGAATGCTAATTACCTCCGACAGTGATTAATGATTTCAGCTTTCCTCTTTCAATATAATAAAATTGAATTTGACGGTGAGAAAAAAAAGGGAAAATAAAAACCTAACGAAACGAGTTGAACAAAGTTGTGTATTGTACACGGATTATATCTTGTCGTTGATAATGTTCAGAGGAATGAATCAAATAAACATTAAATTAATCTGTAAATGGAAAATGATCTTTTATGCATCAGGAAGGAAATATTTACTCGGTTTAGTGGTTTTTTCTTTCCATAGAACGTTTTCATATGACGACTCGGCGGCCACGGCCCGGCAATCTCATGATCAATTGGCCAATCCGATCCCCGTACCGTTGTTAAAAGTAGCTTACTTCCTTCCTTGTTGATAATTTTTTAATTGCGTTTCTGTAGATTGATTTCAGGATTTGTGTCCTAATTGCTACAGGAGTAATTTTGGGTAAAACATCTCAGCGCCTAGAGAGACGCCTTGCAAGTTTTGATTTTGAGATTAATTGAAGTATGAAGAAAGCTTTTGTTAGTTTTACGACAGAAAATGGAATGGTTATAGCAGAGGCTTGAACTCCCATGCACAACCGCCCCTTGGATTTGATTCCAAATAAAGCCTTCGTTCCCGCGGGCTGGGAGAGATAACCTGAGACTTTAGAACAACGTACTGGCAAGCTAGGAGAGTGTTTTCGAAACTTTGGTCTAGGAAAAAAATTTAACATGTAGCCTTCTTTCTGAAAGTTAGCTCGATGATTTAAGAATGATGATTATTTACAGTTCAGTCAATTCTCGCCTGGCGGACACCTCGATAATACAGACAGTAGCTAAATCCCCGGCAAAAACAAATTACAGTCAACTGCCTTTATAAGAGCACCACGGTCCTCGAGTTAGTGTCCTTACTAGTGAGAGTCCGTAGACACTCAACTCTCACCTTGCGGACGCCCCGCTATAAGGGACACCCCGATAATACCGTCTGCAGCTAATATAAATCCCAGGCAAGAATACATTACAGATGTTTGACTGAAATAAACTCCCGCTATTACGGACTCTCGCTAGTAAGGACACTAACTGCCGAGGTCCCTAAGTGTCGGCAATAAAGGGAGCGGGTAATTATTTCAGTATGCGCGGCGTCGCCGCTCGCGCGTTCTCCCGCAGCTTGCTTTTGGCCTGGCAATAATTGGCGAACTTCCTCGCAGGCTAAATTTGGAACGAGGTTAAGTTTAATGACTGAGACCCATTCACTGCCACTCTCTTAGAATTAAGGGGCTATTCACGTAATACTTCACCCTAACAACATCAACAGAGACAGTGGAATTGAGATTCCTGAAGCGTGGATACCTACGATCAGACATCACATTCCAATCAATTTATATAACTGTTTCGACCTTTCAATTAGTTACTTTACAGTTCCGGCTTAAAAACGCGCAGTAGACAGACCAATCGATGGAACCCCTATTATGGGGGTCTTGTTAATTTGAGTAGTATAGTTGGTGAAACGCTATGGGTGATTAAGATCGAGGAATGGAGATAACGCAAAATAAACTTATCATTGATCTATTGCGAAATGATCATGAAGATGATATAAACCGCGGAAACTACAAATTCAACGGTGGGATTATATTTCCGCAGTCCATATCATATTTATTTAAGATATGTTTCATTCCTTTCACCGGGTTAAGATATGAAATCAGCAAATTGGCCTGCTCCTAATGTATGTGTCTTCATAGCTTAGTTGGTACTGGGAGCCGTCTTCAGCCCAAACGCAAAGGCAATTTGTTCCATTCCCTTTTGAGCCCCGAAACTTTATTGAGGGTTAATATGCAATTGCTCTAAAACTGTTGTTACATCATAACGGTGATGATCATATCTTGATCATTCAAATCTCCTTTCTATTACTACTATAATTATTATGATAATTATTGTGCACTACCACTGGGCTTATTCAAAACTGTAAGAACTTAGTATTACGTTTAAAACCATTTTTAGTATATACACAGTATACAATACAATATATTTTCGCTTGAATTCAATTAGGATGACCGTTATATATAAAACTCCATGTTAATTATTGAAATATTATTCTTCAGATTTGAAAAGTTCATCCCACTAAACATTCCATTTTTTCAGCCACTGAACGAAAAAATGACTTTTCATTCACAAATTTTCTCCTTTCAAGTAAGTCGCAAATATGTGAAAACTGAGGAATAAATATCAGGCAAGTACGATGGTAAATGCCACGTTCGCATATCAAAAACAGGGGGTTATAATAACGAGGCCGTGAGAAAATTAAATTTTGTGCAAATCCATTTTTTCGTCCGGTGAGTCATTCGACCTGAAATTTCCCCGAAGTATGAACTATTATATTGGGGCAATTTTTATGTAGGTTTTCAGTTGTACGTGATTTTATTCCTTCATGTTGATTCAGCCGTGTGTACGCAACTGAACAGTATGCTTTGTGAATATTTATGAGTTTTTAAGGTTTTGTGTTCACAGGTTTCTGACTGTAAAAAGCTATTCCTTTCCAGCGAAACTTTTCACTTAATTAATTAATTCATTATTTTGTTCTTCAAATTTAGTGTTGTGTTTCACACCTTCGTTTCCTATATATATTGGTTCATAGTCTCTTTCATTGGCATTTGATAATGGTGACATGTCGTCGTAGCGTTGCTTTTTATCCTTAACTGTTTTACAAAATCTTTCGTTATCAAAAGTTTTGAACATAGTACTCATATCACCTTGTTCCTTTCCCTAAGCACGTTTAATAGCAGCATATTATAGACCCCAGTAGACTTACATCACCAAGTGCTGTCTCAGTTGATTGTCTTGGGATGGTCTCGTTCCTTTTTTCTATATAATGCTAGAAGACTACTGACAGTTTCTTTAATTATTTGTTGGTTCCCTTAAAGAAATTTCAATTTCGGCAAAATATTGAAATATTTCTAAATAGATATAATATGTTATGCTGTTAGATACAGGTGCGTTTAACTCTAAGAATTAAAACGATTTTGTTTTTCATACATCTTTGCTCGCCACGCAAACTAGCTGCGAAAGCAGTAAATTAATCTAAAACAGCAATTATTAACGTCTCCGAGTTCATTTTTCTTCGTCTAAAGAACTATAATTATCGGTTGCCCCGACAAAATCAAACCTCAAACTACACCAGTCACTGGTCAGGCCGTACCATACCAAAGGAAAAAAAACTTAACTGCAACATATACATAATTCAGATGCTCAGTAATCAACTATGTCAAACAACAGTAGATTTGTCTTATTACGTCTTTAACAGCCTGTCTTACTTCTTTGATTTTCCAGCAATAAAGAAATGGGTTTAATGACGAGTTTACAAAAACAAAAGTAAATGAAAAAGTCTTAGCAAGATAAAATGATGAAGAAACCTTAACGCTTTTCAGATCAGTTAAAGCCTGTGTTATGCCAAATGGCAGATAACAAATAAATAATGTAACCTGCACCCACAGTGCACTGTACACTGCCTTTCTGTATCGAGCTATGTTCAATGGAATTGCTTGCCTCCGTTGTTCTTGAGCCACATTGATCTCAGCTTGAATTTGGTAATGACGGAGCATGAAGAAGATTTTCATGTAAGAGGAAATTATGATGGATAAACAAAAAGACAAATGTATGTAAAGAAACAATGTAAGCAACTGAGGATTCCAAATGTAGCTTGTTGTGCCGACAATGGACAAAACCCACATAACGATTACAGTTATATAGACACCTCTCAAAGTTACAACTTGTCTGTATCTGAGGCCCAACCACAAGGCGAGAAGTCTGTCCACGCTTATTGCAGTCAATACTAACAAAGACACCGAACACAAAATATAACTGGCGATAAAAAGTGCAACGTAAACATTATAGCAAATATCCCATCTTTTACTCTTCACAGACATCAAGTAAGCAACATTCAGAGGCTCAGCAATGATTCCCACCAAGAGGTCAGTTATCGCTAAGCTGCGTAGCAGGAGTTTGGAGGGCGGATGAAGTGAAGATTCTTTATGTAGAGCAACTAGGATCAGAGTGTTCCCCACAAAAGCTGTAATGGACAGAAAAGTATTAAGTATCGAAAGGACGATTAGCTCGTAGTGAACTCTGGCAGTGACATTTGCCGAACAGTAGAATTCTCTGATCGTATTCTCAAGGGTTGCAGGCACTGCCATCTTTCTTTACTGACGTTGAGCGGTACGTGCAAGTGATTCTGTACAGTAACTCATCTTCGTGGTCAGTCAAATGTCAGCATGTCAAGGCTTTTATATAATTTACTTCCTTTGGTTTTATTTTACATTTAAATGGGTCACAATTACCCCTCTGGTATACTCACTTCAGTGACTTATGAGTCAGGTTCCTTAATTACTTGGACAAAATATTATTGAATTTGAAGTTCAGGGGATATTGGCTGCCAACAAATTACCCCTACTCAGAATAATAATGATTACAGCTTTCTTCTTTCAAAATAATAAAATTGAATTTGACGGTGAGGAAAGAAGGAAAAAAAACTAACGAAACGAGTTGAAGAACGTTGTGTATCGGTACATGGATTGTATTTTGTCGTTGATAATGTTCTGTTTGGGGTAATGAATCAAATAAACATGAATAATCTGAAAATGGAGAATGATCTTGTATGCTAATCAGGAAGGAAATATTTACACGGTTTTAATAGTTTTTTCTTTTCTATGTAAAGTTTTCATAGACTTCACTGCGGCCACGGCAATATAATGATCAATTGGTCAATTCCTCGCTGACCGTTGTTAAACATGAGAACCTTCCTTCCTTCCTTGTTGATAATTTTTTTATTCCGTTTCTGCAGATTGATCAGCCAGGATTTGTGTCCTAATTAAGGCAAAAAACTATAGGAGTAATTTTGGGTAAAATATCTCAGCGCCGAGAGAGACGCCTTTTCCGTCTTAAAGCCCCGAGGACTAGATTTGCAAGTTTTTATTTTGATATTGAAATATGAAGAAAGCTTTTAGTTAACGACAGAAAATGGAAAGGTTATAGCAGGAGAGGCTTGAACTCCTGCATACCACCGACCCTTGGATTTGATGTCAAATAAAGCCCTTGTTCCCGGCTGGAAGAGATAACCAAGACTTTAGAACAAGAAGGTGCCAAGCTAGGAGAGTGTTTTCGAAACTTTGGTTTAGGAAAAATATTTAACATGTAGCCTTCTTCCTGAAAGCCAGCTCGATGATTTAAAAATGAAGATTATTTACAGTACAGTCAACTCTCGCCTTGCGGACCCCCCGCTATAACGAACACCCCGATAATACGGACAGCAGCTAAATCCCGGGCAAAAACAAATAACTGTCAACTGCCTTTATTGCGGACACCGTAGGGACCTCGAGTTCTCTTTTAGTGTCCTCACTAGCGAAAAGTCCGTTATAACGGGAAATTATTTCAGTCAAACATCAGAATTTCCCGCTAAAGCCGGTCAACTCCCTTTATAGCAGACACCGGCATTGACCTCGAGTTAGTGTCCTCACTAGCGAGGGTCCGTAATAGCGGGAAATTATTTCAGTCAAACATCTGTAATTTATTTTTGCTCAGAATGTAGCTGCTGTCTGTATTATCGGGGTGTTCGTTATAGCGGGGTGTCCGCAAGGCGAGAGTAGACTGCACTACGGACTCTCGCTAGTGAGGACTCTAAGTCAGAGGACCGTGGTGTCCGCTATAAAGGGAGCTAGTTGACTGTATTTAGCCAAATAGTGCTGAATAACTCCTTTCCTCTAGGAACCCAAGTACATTGATCTCTACTTTTATAGTATAACACCGACACTATGATGTGTTCTTCTTGCAAGAGCTCAAGGTTTTTGTCAAGGGAAATTATTCTAAGAACGCCCGCGGAACATAAAATCTGGGTGGCTGTTCAAGGGAGGAGTCCTTCTAATAGAGATTACGGTATTTTTTGCCCAAAAACTAATGACTAAATAACGACAGGGACCAACTCAAGGTGCCTTTAAATAAAATTTGTGGAGAGCGGGGAGGGATGAACTCTAGGTTTCCGTTTTAGGAGGGTTTCCTTCACATAACAGATTCATGTAGAAATTGACTGAGGCATTACAATTAAGAACAAATGGTTGGTGTCGCGCCTTCTTAGGAAGGTGTATTCACAGAAAGTGACTGTAGAGCGGCGGTCCTTGTCGCATTATGGGTGACTGAGGAATAACAAGGAACCAATTCCATGTCTGCTCAACAAAGGTGTCTAATTTACAGCGATACCTGATAAGAAAAAGAAACATGATTGGCTCCTCCTAAAATGCTCCACAATCGGGGAGAAGTGTGACGTCACTTTACCATGGCAGCTAAATTTCTGGATCGAATCTCAACAATCTTTCTTGACGGAGACAGCCATTTTTATTTTTGAATGATGGAAGAAAAGCAAGAGCTACCGTTTCGTTCCTGAATACAGCCATGCACTTGAAAGTCATTTGTCAATTTTTTCGGTTTCACTGCCATACTTGTAGGCCACAGTTTGTTGAGATCCAGAACTTTTGCTACCATGATAACAAGACTTCTCTGTTGGTATAAGATTTAATGGAGCCGCGACAATATTAAATTTAATTTACTTTAATCCATTTTTACTGAATACAATATAATAAATACACAGACACAAGTTAGCAGCGGGTAGGGGCGTAGCCAGCAAGTGGACCTGTAGGCCCGGGCCTACAAATTTTTGGTTTGATCTCTCTACCGCTTGTAATAAATTATGCGTTGTTGGGGTGAGCTAAAAAGCTTAAGAGCTCGAAGTGTTGGTGAGGTCAATTCGTACAGGATATGTGGAAATGCAAGTCTGCCAGGCCTACAAATAGCCGAAAAGCTGGCTTCGCCCCTGGCGGGGAAGGACTAGAAGGTAACCTAGGAACCATACAGGTTAGTCCACTGTAAGGAGAGATTTCCCATGAATTCTTTCTGCTCACATTTTTTTCGACAAGATTTCTCGAAATAGTAAATAGATATATTTTAAATAGATATATTTTTGATTGAAATAAATTAGCATGACTGTTATGTATAAAATTCCATGTCAGTTATTATTTTTCAAATATGAATCGTTCGTCCCAGTGAAACGTTCCATTATTTCAGTCACTGGACGAAAAAAAAATAGATTTGCATAAATTTGCTACTTGCAAATATATCGCAAATATTTGAAAACGAGGAGTAAATATGGGGTAATGACGGTAAATGTCACTTCATATACTAAAAAACAGAGGGTTCAGATAACGAGGCCAAGAGAAAATTTGTGCAAAGCCATTTTTTCGTCCTGTGAGACATTCGACCTTAAATTTCCCCGAAGTCAGTGAACTATTATATTGGGGTAATTTGTATGTAGGTTTTTGCTCGTGATTTTATTCCTCTATTTATTCAGCTGTGTGTATACAATTGAAAAATAAGCTTTGTGAATATGAGTTTTTAAAGTTTTTTGTTCACAGGTTTTTGACTGTAAAGAGTTTACCTTTTTTCTTTCTCTCAAAGCACATTTAATATTTATCACACAAGGAACGTTTATTACTGATAAAATATGCCTTAGCAGCAACTCAATTTTTTCGTCCTGTGAGACATTCAACGTCAAATTTCCCCGAAGTATAAACTATTATACACTGAAAATTGAAAAGATCTGTTTCAGCCCTAAAGTGAAAGTGTCAATTCAGCCCTGTAGGCCAAAGTCTGATTCAGCCCTTCCTGGAGCCCTTTGAGCACAATTTAGGCCAAAAAAGCTCTATCAAAAGGCTATTCCAGCCCACAGTAGGGCCCATTTCAGCCCTGGGACCAAATCAGCCATAGCTAATTGGACTGTATTGGCCCTGATTTAAGGGAGCCAAATTAGGCCCAAAAATAGGACTGTATTTTACTCACCGAAACGGCCCTATTTTTAGGGCTAAAACAAATCTTTCTGATTTAGAGTGTATTGAGGCAATTTGTATGTAGGTTTTCAGTTGCGCGTGATTGTATTCCTCCATGTATTCAGCTGTGTGTATACAGTTGAAAAATATGCTTTGTGAATATTTATGAGTTTTTATATTGAAATATTTGTAAATAAATATGATATGTTATGCCCTTAGATACAGGTGCGTTTAACTCTAAGAATTAAAACGATTTTTTTTTTCACACATCTCAGCGATAAATTAACACAGCAATTATTAACGTCTCCGAGTTCATTTTTCTTCGTCTAAAGAACTATAATTGTCGGTTGCCCCGACAAAATCAAACCTGAAACTACAATAGTCACCGGTCAGGCCATACCATACCAAAGGAAAAAAAAATAATTGCAACATATACATAATTTAGATGCTCAGTAATCAACTATGTCAAAGAACAGATTTGCCTTATTGCGTCTGTAACAGCCTGTCTTACTTCTTTGATTTTCCAGCAATAAAGCAATGGGTTTAGTGACGAGTTTAGAAAAACAAAAGTAAATGAAAAAGTCTTAGCAAGATAAACTGATGAAGAAAACCTAACGCTTTTCAGATCAGTTAAGGCCTGTGTTATGCCAAATGGCAGATAACAAATTAATAATGTAACCTGCACCCACAGTGCACTGTACACTGCCTTTCTGTATCGAGATATGGTCAGTGGATTTGCTTGCCTCGGTTGTTCTTGAGCTACATTGATCTCAGCTTGAATTTGGTGATGACGGAGCATGAAGAAGATTTTCATGTAAGAGAAAATTATGATGGATAAACAAAGAGACAAATGTATGTAAAGAAGCAATAAAAGCAACTGAGGATTCCAAATGTAGCTTGTTGTGGCGACAATGGGCAAAACCCACATAACGATTACAGCTATATAAACACGTCTCAAAGTTACAACATTTCTGTATCTGAGGCCCAACCACAAGGCGAGAAGTCTGTCCACGCTTATTGCAGTCAATACTAACAAAGACACCGCACACAAAATATAACTGGCGATTAAAAGCGCAACGTTAACATTATAGCAAATGTCCCATCTTTTACTCTTCACCGACATCAAGTAAGCAGCATTCAGAGGCTCAACAATGATTCCCACCAAGAGGTCAGTTATCGCTAGGCTGCGTAGCAGGAGTTTGGAGGGCGGATGAAGTGAAGATTCTTTATGTAGAGCAGCTAGGATCAGAGTGTTCCCCAGAAAAGCTGTAATGGACAGAAACGTATTAAGCACTAAAAGGACGATTAGCTCGTCGTGAACTCTGGCAGTGACATTTGCTGAACAGTACAATTCTCTGATCGAATTCTCAAGGGTTGGTACTGCCATCTTTCTTCACCGATGTTGAGAGGTTGGTGTAAGTGATTATAAGATTTATGTTTATATTGTCGCTTCTCTTATCTTCATGGTTAGTCAAATATTAGCATGTCAAGGCGATCATTTAATTAAGTTCCTTTGGCGATATTTCACGTTTGACATGGGTCATTCCTAACCCCTTTGGTACACTCACTCCGGTGATTTATAAGTCAGGTTCCTTACTTCGATAAAAATATTGAACTTCAAGATCACAGGATATTGGCTACCAACAAATTGCCCCTATTCGGAATGCTAATTACCTCCTATAGTGATTAATGATTACAGCTTTCTTCTTTCAATATAATTATATATAATAAAATTGAATTTGACGGTGAGGAAAAAGGGAAAAAAAACCAACGAAACGAGTTGAAGAACGTTGTGTATCGGTACATGGATTGTATTTTATCGTTGATAACGTTTCAGTTTGGGGTAATGAATCAAATAAACATTCAACTAGTTTTTAGTAGAAGGTCATATGAAGCTAAGAGGGCTATCCAAAATCTTTGTCAGTAATGACCTAAACTTTGAAATTATCTTCCTTTTAAGTATCGCGTTTAAGGTGACTAACTTAATTATGAGTCAGTTTTAGTATTTTTCTCACGTGCTCGCGTCGCTTCAGAAGTGGCCAGATAATTCTCGATTTTTGATATGTATAAGTTAAACCATTCTCGCTTTCAACTGAATGACTGAAATTTATTTTGAAGTTTTGATAGGGCGATACGAGCGAATTTTCTAACTATAGTGTTCAGTCTTTCTGTTCGCACAAAAATCGAGCGATTTCCCCGAAACTTAAAATCCTTGAGTTTAAGACTGTTTATTTCATCTGCCAAGTTTAAGGAAATTTGTTCGACTGTGATCTGCGCTACAGGACAGGTTTGAGAAACGACAATTAAAATACAACATTGACTTGCCCAAACATGTCACGAATCAAATGCCAATTTGCAAACAATTTTGGAGGGCAGTTACGTTCAATTTTTGATAAATATGATACATAAATTTGGGGCTCGAAGCCATAATGCTCCTTGTGTGATTCCCTCTTAGAACAGAAGGAAATTTGCTTGGAAAATAATATAAAGGTTGCGGCTTTATGGCCGGTAACCGGTTAACATTTTCAAAACACTAAATGACCGGCAGTCCAATATTTTTTTCAATAATTTTGACAAATCGAAGATTCCCAGCTAGACCAAACTATCATACGTCGATTTAGACTCGATAAACTGAGAGACTTAGTTTCTGATCAACAAATGTTGTCAAAGTGTAAGTCTCTTCAATTTTAAAGGAAAAAAAATTCACTCGAATTTGAGCGGATTCAATCCCAGAGCATAGGGTCTGAAGGGGCGGATTCGGGATTTTTTCAAAGAGGGGGTTGCAAGTATGAGAGTTCGAGACAAACATCCCAGGGCCAAAGGAATGGGGGAGGGGGGAGTTGGAGGGTAATGTTTGAATACGTAGATTTTCGATATTTTGATTTCAGAGGTATAAATTTGTCAAATTTGAGACACTATTATTAAGGACTAAGAGTACAGTACAACAACGATAGTTTTCTGTATCTTTTTACCCGCCCATTAAATCAAACAGACTGACAGGAAAGAGCCTTCTTGGAGGAGCCTGTATAAAGGCTTGCTGGCATATCTCGTCTTCCTCGAATCACTCAGATTAGTACATGGCGATCTACTGCGAGATCAGAGAATCGCTCTTCAGGCGTTGTTGACCTAGAACAGGTCTTGATTCATTTCATCAGTGAAAACGACGGCTCAGATTCTGCGCTTGTGATTGGTAGGGTGCAGGTTGTTTGGAAGCTCCCTATCTGTTGACTGCCAGAGTGTTTTCCATCTACGTACCTCATTTCCAAGGGAATAGGCCATTTCCTAGTTCAACCGGTCCTCTGCATCAAAACGAGGTTAAATGCTCAGCCTTTGATATGTATAATTTTTTGGCAAACAAAAAAATAAATAAATAAATAAATAAATAATTTTTCATTCTCATGCAAATGAAACACATTTTCACAAGAAAGGTGGTGCACTTGGCCTCGTTTTGAAAGTGAAGGTTTTTGCAACTCGCAAGTGGCCTATTGAGAAATCGTCTTTCTCCCAGAATAGCATGCCTTCTACTTCATCATCCAGCTGCAGTGCCCTATTTACTATAATCGATGGCACGACACAAAGCAGATGGCGGGCGTGGCGATCTTCGTCAGAAAATCGATCTTTCATTTGGATGATTAAGTAGTCGAGAAGAGGAATAGCTACAGTCTCTTGTAATGATAGATTGAACTGGAACTTACATTATAACTTATAATATTATTTTTGGTATGAAAAAGGGATAGGCATGGGTAGCCAGACAAGTTTGAAAACTTCGCAAAGAGGGGGTTGCAAACCCCTCAACCCTCCCCCTGGATCCGTCTCTGATCTGCCTACCACTATTCTAACCACTACATCACCGTGGTTTCCCTGCAAGTTGGTGATTTTATTTAAATATTATAGCGTAAACCCCAACCCAAAATAGAAGCTAACCGTTAACCCTAATCACTTTTCTCAGGGCTTAACCCTAATCAGTATGGTTAGTGCTTAAATGAGTATTTTCAGTGCTTAACCCTAATCACTATAGTCAAAATATCAGACTTATAAAATCTTGCATTTCGTTCAAATATACTTAGAAGATATTAAACGGCTACTTGCTCCAGTGATACTATTTCTTTGTTCTTATGCTACGCTATTTTGCTGGTCTTAGCGTGTTCTCTTTTCCGAAAACCAACCCAAATATACAGAGGTTCCGAACTTTTCTTTCATTCTGCCTTGGCATAGACTATGACGAATTCATCATGAATGCTTTCGGTTCTCGGTCGACAAGTGACGGCCAACTACAAAAGTATGGAGCATGTGCAAAGTTGTTTGTTTTCTAATTAGACCTTTTGTTTCTATACTTTAACGAGATTGCAAATTATTCAAGTTGCAGTTGAAAATCAGTGTAAGAAGAAAGCACGTGGTAATCCCCTGCGCATTCTAAATCTCCCACTCCAGCATAGCCACAATTCCTTGCGAGTCTACTGTGTATCCTAAATCTTCCATTCGCACTTAACCACAATTCCTTGCGAGTCCATTGCGCATCCTAAATCTTTGAGTCGCGCATAACAACAATTCCTTGCGTTTGGTACGAAAAAGTGATTGAATGCCCCTATAATGCATGTAAATTTTTGCCGATTAGAGAGCTCCCTCGTTCGCTCGCTTCAGGCTCACTAACTGCGCAGCAACTAATCTGTAAATGGAAAATGATCTTGTATACTAATCAGGAAGGAAATATTACTTGGTCTTAATGGTTTTTTCTTTTCCATAGAAAGTTTTCATAGACTTCACGGCGGCCACGGCAATCCCATGATTAATTGGTGAATTCCTTGTACCGTTGTTAAAAGTACCTTACTTCCTTCCTTGTTGACAATTTTTCTGTTCCGTTTCTGTAGATTGATTTCAGGATTTGTGTCCCAATTAAGACAATAAAACTACAGAAGTAATTTTGGGTAAAATATCTCAGCGCCGAGAAAGACGCCTTTTCCGTCTTAAAGCCCCGAGGAGTAGATTTGCAAGTTTTGATTTTGAGATTGAAGTATGAAGAAAGCTTTTAGTTTACGACAGAAAATGGAATGGTTATAGCAGAGGCTTGAAATCCCGCGCACAATCACCCCTTGGATTTGATCAGATAACCGCGACTATAGAACAACGTGCCAAGCTAAGAGAGTGCTCTAAAAACTTATGGTCTCAGAAAAATATTTTTTTTGTTCCATTAACATGTAGCCTTCTTTCTTAAAGCCAGCTCGATGATTTAAGAATGATGATTATTTACAGTACAGTCAACTCTCGCCTGGCGGACACCCCGATAATACAGACAGTAGCTAAATCCCCGGTAAAAACAAATAACAGTCAACTGCCTTTATTGCGGACACCGTAGGGACCTCGGGATAGTGTCCTCACTAGCGAGTGTCCGTAATAGCGGGGAATTTCAGTCAAACATCTGTAATTTATTTTTGCCAGGGATTTAGCTGCTGTCCGTATTATCGTGGTGTCCGTTATAGCGGGGTGTCCGCGAGGCGAGAGTTGACGTTATTACGGACTCTCGCTGGTTAGGACACTAACTCGAGGACCGTGGTGCCCGCTATAAAGGAATTGACTGTATTTAGCCAAATAGTGCTTAATAACTCCGTTCCTCTAGGAACCCAAGTACAGTGATCTCTACTTTAATATAACATTCATGACACTTGCGAGAGCTAAAGGTTTGTGTCCAGGAAAACCACTGAAAAACGCCCTCGGAACACAAAATCTAGGGGGCTGTTCAAGGGAGGAGTCTAATAGACATTATATTTTGCCCAAAAACTAATGATTAAATAACGACAGGGGCCAACTCCAGGTGGAAAGCTAGCATCAATTGTTAGTATTATTAGAGGCTCAGCGGCTGCTCTCTTGTGCTGTGTGCATGAACGGACCGAAAGAGCACGATAGGGATAAACAAACTCAAACCTCAGCTGCTTCTGAACACGCCAATAAGACCGGAGTTTCAGGTAGAGATTATCTGTTTTGGAATAGCCTGCGAGCAAGCTCTCCATTTGGGGGAGTCGCGAGAAGTCTCTCGAGAGGCGCATGCGCGACTTCGCCGCTCGCTCGCAAGGCTCAGAAGCCTGCCCCTAAATAAGCGCCGCAGTCCCATTCCAATTCCAGGTTTAATTATTGTGTTAGTTTAATGCGGAAAATAACAGTACCTTGGTGTGAACAATTATTTTTCGTGTCCAACTTTCAAATAAGCGCCGCCCTCAACGAAGCAGCGCATTTAAGGAGTAAAAAAATTCTGAAATTTAATAGGCGCCATGGCGCTTCTTCTAATAAATACGTTATGATATACAGGGTCAAAACAGAAAAAGGCTGAAATGACCGAAGTCTCCAAAGATATGAATTCGTAGGATTCAATTACTGGTTTAAAAGCTGCTCCGT